GGTCGTGGCTCACGGGCGCGCGACTCACGGACGCACATGGCTCGCGGTTCGAACAAGCTTGGTTTGGACGAAAAAAATAATATTACAATAATAATAATTAAAATATTTAAATAGTATTTAATAATTAAAATAAAATTCCACAATTATTATATATATATGATAAACACAATTGGGCACATAAAATCATTTAAGCATTTAGACAATTAGTCATTCAATAATAATGGCCACAAATAATGATAACAATAATAATAATAATAATAATAATAATAATAATAATAATAATAATAATAATAATAATCCAAATTATTCATAAACGAACGGGGCGTCACAAAAAGGCTAAAGAGCACTTTGTCAGTAGGCTGACAAAGTCCTTTTAAAGGACCGTGGTGGGACGATCATTTGGTTGATAAGTTCGAATCGTGGATTTAATTATTCACCAAATGAGCATTGTGTGTGGCACAATGGAAGCGTGGTGGTATTTTTGTACTATGCGTAGACAACATCTTGATCACTGGAGACAATGTGAAACTGTTGACAAACGCAAGGGTATGATTATCCAAGTAGTGGTACATGAAAGATTCAGAATAAACAGATATTCTTGAGATTGAGTATCACAAGAAACATATGTTGCGATTATCCCAAATTTCATGTACAGACTGTCATAAGGCTCATTTTATTTGCATAATACAGAGGCAGTCCTTATGCATGGCATGCGGAAGCCTAGTATATGCAATAAATGAGGCCTGATATTTATTTGCATGGTTAATAAATATCGAAGTAATCCTAGATGGGAGCAATGGTTCATGGTAGGACATAAGATCAAGCGCCGTAAAAGGGCTCAGGATAATATATAAGGTTACCAGATGAATCATATGCAACCTTTGGATTACAAAGGATTCTGATTTCTAATCAGACATGAACAACAAATAAAAACCACCTTATGGTTTGCGTTCACTTGTGGGAACCAAGCAGATTAGAGGAATGTCAAGCGGTAATGCATTGACGGATTCCACTATGAACTCAGTAAGTCCCTTCCCAAATGGCGAGCGACGTAGAGATTGTATTCGCCATTGAATTAAAAATGTAAAACCTCGTCTGGCCAAGTCGGGTCACAATTTTATTGTGATGACAGTTGGTGCAGTTGCAGATAGAGAAGAATCACTAGTTCATAAAGCAAGTGACACATAGAGCAAGTACGCCCGTTGTAAAGGACTATGACAGGGTGGTTGTTTGTCGCATAGTTACATCGGTAGACAACCAAGTAAATCCTTTGAGGATTGGCTTTCCGATGAAAGCGGATGATGGCCATGTTAAAGGATTGGAAATCGGATATATGGCATAAAGGACAACAGTTCTTTGAGAATTGAGATTAAGAGAGAATCGTGGTTAGCAATAGCCATGAGCTTATTACAAATAAGTGGGAGATTGTTAGATGTATGCTGTAAAAGTTCCAATTTGCAGATTCAATCAATTCTATTTTGATATGGCCATCATGTTTCGGTCAATGTACATATGCTTGCAGTTTATTTATTTATGCAATCATACTCCTTGTCTTACATTGAGATAGTGTGATTCGAAGTGTTTCGAACAGAAAGATCACCTATCGGTTCCTTATAAGACTAAACTATTCGTTCACAGTCTAGACAGGCAGTGAGACCCCTCTTGGAAAAAGACTATAGTGTATTCTTGATTCACTTGGTCTTTGACTGGAGAATTACACTAGCACTTATGATAGGTGTTGAACATAACCACAGAAAGATAAGATTATGAGACTTACTGACCGTTGTTGTAATCTAGACCTTCAGTAATTGATGCGTATTCTTAAGGTGTAAGATAATATAAAATGGGCATATGTATTCATTACTTATTTATTTGAGGGTGATTCCAATTTTTCTAGGATGACATACTCGGTATTTTGGTAAATAAGTGTGTTTATATGTACCGTTATAAATTATTTACGGTCACTGTGTCCCAGTGCGCTGGGTTGATGACGTCCCCAAAATGAGCTCAGGAATGAATATTATGTCAAGCCTGCAGGCGGATGTGTTATCTGGCATAATGATTAAGGATCTGAGTGGTACTAGTTTCGGAAATGAATAAGTTGATTAATTATTTTGTCAGTAATTTAATTAATCAACGGACGTTATATCTTAAACATGGGCAGATAAATCGATCAATTGGAATAATATATTTAATCAGTAGAAACGAATTAATTGTAATTCGAAGCTAAATGGGGAGAACAATAATATTACTCTAGTGGAATATTTTATTATTTAATTCCAAGATTAGGAATTAAAAATTAATTATATTCCATAATTCCCTAAGGATGGAAATATTCCTTCTAGAATATTACCTAGGGTTAGGAGACTATGGAGTCTTCTAGAAGGAAATTAAATATTAAGAATATTATCCTAGATGGGAAAAAGGAGATGGAAGATAATAAGGATTCCTAATCCTTAAGGAATAAGCCCATATTTAGCACCTCCTTTAGGTCCCTATTGTAGCCTATAAATACACTAGGTCCCCTAACCTCTTAAACAAGCTTTTACACGTTTTTCTCCCCGAAGGGCTGGAGAAATTCGGCCTCTTCAAGCGAGAAAGAAAGAGAGGGATTCTTCTTCGAGAGAAAATTCGATTAGCACCGTAAGGTCTTAGAAGAATATGATCAAGAGGTTTTGGGAAATCTAATAAATCGCTCTACCAAGATTTATTAGAGACCGTGTAAAGGTCATACAATAGAAGATTCGAAGGTTGTTGATTCGTATTCCGTTTGATATATTATTTTCTGGTCAGATTATATTGTTCGCGCATCAGCCAGATTCCTGCACACAATTCACGCGCCCAGGTGTCCAGAAATCGTGCGGCCGCTCATAGGTTTTCACTCTGCGCTCAAATACTTCAGAATTTGCCCATGTCCAATTGCCACAACATGGCGTTTGGCGCAGTGGTCTTTAGCGTGCCATTCTGTGGTTGAGGTCGCGGGTTCGATCCTCCCGTTGCGCAGCCGTTTTTATTTTTTCACCAGCAGAGGAAAGGGAATCACGCAGGCTGTGTGGCCCGCGCCTCAGCACACGAAGCCCGATCCCTCACTCAGCTGCCAGCCCTCGAGAAGCCCGCGTCCCAGGACCGCGCTCATCACAGATCCCAGCCCGCGAGAGGCCTGACCAAGCCCGCGAGCAGCCCACCGTCTTCTGGCCCATTGTATGCAGCCCAACAATCTTCACCGCGGCCTAGAAGCTTGCAACACGGCCCAGTTCGCGTTCCTTGAGTCCATCGCGCGTCTCTTCAGCCCAGACGCGACCAGAAGGCTACCAGCCATTACAGACCGTCTAGCTTGCGTCAGACCGGTTCAACTTCATCCAGAAGCTCCTAGCTCGGGTCCAGGCATCTCCAGACCGGTCCAGATATTGCAGCAGCGGTCTAGTCCGTTCCAGGTGGATCCGGCAGCCCCGATTCGAGTTCGTGATGGTTCCCGAGCAGTCCGACTAACCTAATGAAGGTTCGAGATGATCCGATAAGGAGCCATTGGAGCACCTTGATGAGTCGATTAGAATCGAGAAAGGACAAGTCTAGCTGTTGATTAGACTTTGGTGTTGAGACGATCTCCATCAACGGAAATCACAAACGTCTCAGAGTCGGCAAAAATTTATAAACCATAAGTCCTAATCCTAACAATAGATTCCGCTGCGTTAGGATTTATTATTCGATAGATTTGAATGTGCATATTGTCGACATTCCTAATAGAACAAAACAGCATTTGTTCCCAACTCCCGCACGTCCTCGCCACTTTCGCGAGTGTCGTGCACGGCAGTTATCTCACCGTCGTCACTGCGCCCCGCGTTCTCATCGTCCAGCGCGCCCAATGCCAGCGTATCGCCCATCGCTCGATGCGCGCCCGTCCATCCGCAGCAACCCCCCTCGCGCGCCATCCACCCAACTACCTCCCCCTGCGCGCCACTCCGCCTAGCCTCCAAACGCCATGCGCGTGTGCGCGCCCTTGCTTAATGCACCTCTTTGTGCGTGTGAGCGTTGCTAGCCTCAAGACCATCTTCTCACGTGTCCTTGCATACTCTCATGTCCGACCTCGTATACGAGCTCGTACCTGTCTTTTAGGCCATGCATGCGTCATTTTATCCCTTTTTCTGGCCTCATTAGGGTCGTCTCGGCTCTTGGCCCTTCATTGTCGTTGGGGGTTAAAACCCACTTACGTATCAGCGCGTGCTTGTGCGTGCTGTTCTGTTGTGCCGCGCCTGCATGCCCGCCCCTACGTGCGCCCGAACTACTCGCAGGATGCCTACGCGTGCGCCCGTCTGCGCGTGGCCCCGCGCACCATAGGGTGCCTGCGCGCGTGCTGCGCCC